CGCAGAAACAGCAGCCGGCCACTTTGTTGCACGCCACGAAATTATGCACCGCCGAGAGGCGCGCGCGAGAGAGAAAGAGAGAGAGGCGCTCGTAAATAACGACCAGGCGTCACGAAATTACTTTCGGGGCACACGCCGTCGCCGCTTCTCCTTCTTCCCTCGCACTGCCGCGTTCGACTCTCGATCTTCGCATGTATGCATGTACGTACATAGCGGTTTCGTGTGTATCAACAATCGACGGAGAGAGAGACGGGGCCTTTTTCGCTGCCGAGATCTTGCGAACGCCGTTCCGAACCTCTCACGTCCATGACTTCTGTTAATTGACTATTTCAGACGTTAATTTAACGCGTTACGCAAACACCGAGTGAATGCAACAAGTGGAATAACGATTAGGGGATATTAGATATTATAATTAAGTTTTTCACTGAATACATTTTGCTACAATATTGTGACATATTTAATTATTCGCATCCTTTGAATTTATGAATCCGTGGAAAGTATATTAAAAAAAAGGAAATGTTGAAAATTGACGAGGAAATAATTAATGAAAGACTTCTAACCGCAACAAATATGTCTTTACAATAATTATACTTATTTTTAAAAGAACGCATAATCATATCTCTATTTTCTTATCTGTTGTGTTCTTCACCGAGTTATCTCCGTTTACGTATGTCTAACGTCGCTTGCGCTTACAATGTAATTATATTATTAGACGTAAAAAGAATATTATTTTCGTTTATAATAATATTAATTATAATTTTTAGCGCTCGCGAAGGAAATGTTGCCAAATTTGAGGTGGTAAATTTTTCAGTTGCTAATGTCGAGATCGACTAACTCATTCTCAATTCGAGTCTAACGGGAGATCGCGCGCTGGATATAAACGCGGGATGCGAATTGGATAGCGAGCCCCGGCGCAGCGTGCGCGCAAGGTGATGGCTCTCCTCCTCTCTTCGTAACCTACATCCAGCTTCGCGATCTCCGCCGCACTTCTGGTACGTCGACCGTCCGACATCTGAAAGTATAATATACGCCGCGTACGGCGTTAACCGCATTAACATACACCGCCGTCTAATAAGCAACGCAAATCGCGAGTAGATCAGAATGCGATGCCCTTGCGTTCGCGCGCAATTTCTTCGCATCTCCTTCGGCGCGCAGCCCCGGACCTCGCTTGCGTTTCGATAATTACGCGTTGCGTAACGCGCGCGCGGCCCCCTGCGCGCATCAGCGACTCACCAAGGTCTGCTCTTTCGTGGAAAGTTCGCGGAGCGAGACGGTCTGGGAAATTAGCCGATACACGGCTACGCGGCAAGCCCTGTCTTTCGCAAGAACCGGTATATCTTTATTCTGATAATCTGTTATGATATCATTAAATTGGCCGCGCGATATTCACACTGGAATTTCGCAAAATACTCGGGTTTCGCCGAAGAATACGCGTACAATCTAATGATCTTTATTCTCTCTTACTTCAAAAAAACATCTGCATTACAGTATAGGTTTTTCATTTCTTATCGCTTTACGACGCGCGATCATTCGAAAAATTGTATACGAGGCATCAAAATTCTTTTTTATTTTTACTTTTCCACAAATGTACAGTTTTTTTTTTAGCACAAATAAACACTTGGCCGGGACCTTAAAAATTCAAGCCGACGAATGCAGGCGATAGATTCAGGCAACAGATCGAGAGTGAAAACCATAAACTATGAACTATTCTTTCCGGATTCGTCGAGGTGCTCGTAGATGAGATATCTCCTACGGCGTCATTTTTCTAGTGCGAGAATAGCGGAACATATGGCGCAGCTACAATACATAAGTTTCGTTGGAATATACACGACGGGGCCCCACCCACCTCATCGCATCCCTCGGAAACCATACTTTCGGCGCGATTCTCTCGCGAGCCAACGGTCACGCTTGATTTGGTGGTTTCGTGTTCGTGCGATTTTCACGGGTCGCAGGTAAAAGCCGGTCGGCGAAGATAATGATTTATCGGGCCCCGCCGGTGGTGGTAGTGAGAGCCCCCGGGGAGCTTCACAACGACTTCGCCTCCACCTCGGACGTTTTTTTCCTCGAGGCCCCGGGTTCGGGCTCGTCGTTGCGGCTTCTCGAGAGGAGATAGAATCCATTACGCCGATCGTGCCGCCTGGTCGGCGATATCTCTCTCATTTTTGCGGCGTGTAGCTCGTCAAAACGATCGAGGGATCGGCACCGATATATACGACGTGTTGCGCCAGATATTCCGCGAGACGCCGGGCGTTACATAAATCGGATCGCGGGCGCGAGAGCGAATTTCGGCGAATGACGGCGTGTAATCCGTTGAGCCGAAGTAATCATCCCCGACGATCGGACGGTCGACCGTTTTCAGCCGTATAGTTATCGGCCATTTAACCAATTAGAGATTACCATCTAGATATTTATACGGTCAATTAAGGTAATTGTGACAGCGGGGTAAACCGAGTGCCGCGGTACTTTCCGACGATAAAACGTATAGTCATCGGATTTTATTGATTTTACGACGAGTGTCAATTTGATCATTGAAAGATCTACCCGGTTACGTCATCAGATCGAAAGTAATAGCGCGAAAAAATAAATTTGCGGAGCGTTCAAAACGGATCGGAGAGATCGGTACGCGTGAAATTCAAAATTGAAACGAAGAAGATTGCGCAGAGGTAAAAATAAGGCGCCAGAATGAACGAGAAAGCAAGCAAATAGTTTTCCAAATATTCGAATACTGCGAAATTGAAGCTTTTTTTCCTCTTTGTTTTTCATCGGTTCAGAGATCATGGTTGTCTCAACTTTTTAAGATTCCTTTCGAATAGTCGGAAAAGACAAGGAATATCGTTCAAGTGCATGGAACGCGCGCGCCTATTACCGAACAGTGCCTGCATATAGGGAAGTGTTGTTTCACGACGATAAGTGTCGGGGTCGGCCGTGAAACTAACAGCAGCGGTAAAGCATTTACGGCGGCCCGATCCATTTGAAACTTTCTCACGTTTCGCGCGGCACAAATGACAATTCCGTGTTTCACGGCCGCGCGACTAGGAAGCGACGTGGTGATTTACAAGAGCGAGACTCGCCGTCGTGCGTTTCTGCGTCACAGCGACGACGATCCTTGGGGGCCCCGCATCGCCGGCGGGGGACCGCGTGTGTGTGCGTGTGTGTCGTGTCATTACACACGGCCCCGCGAGTTTTGCTCTTTTTCCTTTCTCCGCGCGATTCGCGACTCGACGGTACGGCGCGCGACCGAAAAGGATAATGCGCGGCTCTTTTCCTCTTCCTCTTCCTTTCTCAGCGATAACGCACGCTCGCCGCGCTTGATCTATGGATCTCTATCTCTACCGCGTCTACCTCCGCGGCGATCACGATCGCGGAAGAGCGACGGCACTCCCGCATAGATCGACGAATCGGACGAGGGACGCGGACGTCATTTCATATGTTGATCGCGATCGTTATCGGCGTTTTTCAATCAGCATTCCGAGAAACGCTGCGGATTCCCGGAGATTTCTTATGTCTTTAAAAAATATATCTGGCGATGTTTCTCATGTTCTGTTCTAATTATTAGTTTAAATAATTCATTAACGCTGCGTTTGAAATTTTTCACAACATTTTAGAATCCATATTGAAAACTAACAAGCGCTTATCTTTTCTTTGCCTTCCTTTTCGAGAAATTACGCTTGACGAGACAGTTTTAAATAATTAAACTTTATTTAACTAACATTTAATGCTATATTTAGCCGCTTATCGTGCTGGATAGTGTCGGGAGTAAAATATATTGGCTCGATACTGCTCGCAGTACGTTCTTTCGACGAACGAAAGAACCTTCGGCGCGTCCTCTTTAAGGTCGCATCACACTTTACGTTGAAAGTTTGAAATCGCATATTGAGAACGCATATTGCAGGCTGAAATTATTGTATGCGTCGATGCGACAAGAAAGGATAGTGTGTTGTAAGCTTGCGCGAAATTGTGATTCGGCGCTCGATCCGCTCTTCCAAAGTGCGCACGCGACGTAATCGCGATCCGGAGAGTTTTCGGTACGATTAGCGTGATACGGTCTTTACGCGGTTTGTCACGCAGAGCCGCGGTGCTCGTACACACACACACACACACACGCGTGCATGTGTGTACGTACGGCGAAACGACGCGCGTATTGCCCGGAGCGATGCACACGCACGCGATTACTCGCCTCTCCGTCAAGTTCGCGAAGGCCACTGCCGTACAGCGAGTTGAGATGCGAGTCTGTCTCTGCCTCGGCCTTGGTCACCCGCTTCCGTCAGCTGCGGGCTAATTGTGAATAACGCGGCGATACGCAGACACGCATATGCACGCATGACCGGACCTCGGGCCCCGATTCCGTGACCAAGACGACGAGCCTTTCCGTGTCGCGCCCGCTTCTTTGTAGCGTAATGTCGGAAATTACTCCGAAACGGGAGCAGCCGCTCGCTTTATTACGGGTGTCGTGTCTCCTCAGTTCGTTTTGTCTTCGTTTTGTTATGTCCGTTTTTTCACGTACATAAATGCTGCTCTTCCGATCGCGGTCGATGGCGCGTCGGCAAAAGAAAGAAAAAAAAAAAGCAGAAAGAAAAAATATGTCGATCCGCATTCATTGCATTTCATATTTAACGACGACGAATGCAGCCGTCTGATTCCGGATTGTGTTTGTCTAGCGTTAAATCCATGCTCAGTTCGATATATCACGAGTTACGTGTGGTCGGACGTGAAATTTAAATAAATACGTATCTATGTGACTCATGGGATTCTTTATGGACGTAGCGATATTTTGAATTCCACTGGAAGCCTGATACGACTTGACTTAAAATAGCTTCAATACCGACATTTATCGCGACGTATTCAATATATCGCCGCAATATTACCGTCGAAAATGATCTTGCTAGAATTATCGCTAAATATAGAGATTTTCCGAGAATGTTATGCGCGGCGTTAAAACGGTGTTTAAGAAGAAGTGAAAAGAAATAAACAAATTCCCGTTTCTGGTTTCTCTGTTGCAGACGAAGAAGAACAATCCGAATCGCATCAAGAGGCCCATGAACGCGTTCATGGTCTGGTCGCAGATGGAGCGTAGGAAGATATGCGAAGTGCAGCCGGATATGCACAATGCTGAAATCAGCAAGAAACTCGGAGTGAGATGGAAGCAGCTGTCCGAGGAGGACAGGCAGCCCTTCAGAGAGGAGGCCGAGCGACTGAGACAGCTCCATCAGAAGCAATATCCTCATTACAAATACCGACCTAGGAAGAAGACCACGAAACCCGCGGAGATCTCGAAGACAAAGGAGAGGAAGAGATCGCGAAAGTCGGTATCGCTGTCGTCACCGGCGCCTTCGCCGTCGCCATCATTATCGTCGCTGTCGACACCGTCGAACAGTCCGGCCTCGATGCCGTCGTCATCGTCTTTGTCCCCGCTGTCGCCGCTCTCGGCGACACCCGCCGCTACTAGTCACGCTGCTAAGATCAGGAATGACAACAACAATAACAACACTCAGCAGCAGACAATGAAGAAATCGGTAAAAAGGCTCCAGACTCAATCGGGCAGCAAGCCGATGTCCAGGCTGAATCCCAGGAACATCCGGCTGACGCTGGAAACTCTGGAGACCCTGGAGACACCACGGCAAACGCTATCTTCCGACGTGGACTACACGGCGCCGCCGATAGTGGCCGCCAAGGTGCCCACTAGTCCGACCTGCGACACCCCGGACTCGCCCGAGTCCGCCTTCTACGACGACGTCGAGTGCGCTCCGTCCAACAACGCGGTCTGCAACGTCGCCTCCGTCAAGATCAAACAGGAGCCGAAGATGGAGCTGGACAGCAGCAACGGTTTCACCACGAAGGATCTGTTCCTGCCGTCTCTCGACATGGCGCTGCGAGCGGACAACAGGGGATACTGTCGCGCGAACTCGACTTCCGGCCTGCGGCAGATGACGAATTTTGTGAAGGAGGCGAAACTGATGGAGAACGCGCCGGCTTATGACACGAAGCGGGGACTCAACGCCATATTCTCCAGGACGCTGTCGCAGTCCTTGATGATGGACACGGCCGCGCCGACGATACTGACCCCGCAGTCGTCAGCTGTGCTGTCCGTGCCCACGACGACGACGATGGGCACCACGGGAGTTCTTCTCGACGACGCTTCACTCGACGACACTTTCAACGGCGTCGATCGTCCGGTCAAGCTCGAGGAGCTCATGAACAATCCCGAACTGTCCGATCTGTCTTTGTCCGAGCTGCCGTCCGACATCGAAGAGATCGACATGATGGGGGATTTGGAGGCGTTCGAAAACGCCGGCTCCTGCAACGGTCCACCACTGGAGTTCACCCGCACACCTGACGTCAGGGAGATTATGTCTATTCTCAGCAACGAGTGGAATTATTTAAACTAGAAGGGGAGAAAGAAAGAAAGAGAGGAGACGAAGGTGATTGACGCAATTGCGCGTCTTTGGTTTGTATGAAGCATCTCTCGCCAAGAGAGAGAGGGAGAGAGAGAGAGAGAGATCGCCAGCACATTCGTCAATCGTTCGCGAGTTTTTATCGAAACTCGAAGACATCCGCGAATCAATTTGTACGCGGTATTCCGCGAGCGATCGTTTCGAAGATCTCGACTAAACGTGTCGGTGTATAACATAAAAACACGATTACGTGCGTTATCACGATCGCTATCGAGCGCGTCGCGCTCGTTTTTTTCTTACGCGGATCACACGCTCGACTTGATTAATGGTTGAACGGATCGTCATCCGCCATCGCGTGTCTTCGTCTTTTGTACTTGACACTTGAGAAGATAGTACTTCTTGAATGTTACGCCGTTTCTTGAATCGGCGCGCGTCGTGGCTTTCGCCTGCTTAACCGAGTCTTTGCAAATAAATGATTAATCGGTAAAATGTTACTTTCAAGGGAAAGAGATATTATTTGTATTACAACTATGAGTAATAATATATTGTAACGCGCACATATATCGTAATACAATCGTGTGTATAAAAGTTAAGATAAATTAAAGGATATAAATCATAACTTTTTTTATTTTTTAAGTCTTATATCTTTTACTACTTTTAAAGTTATCTTAAAATTTTTGTTACTCATCAACGAATATTATCATTATTTTTTTTAAAGCAGCACTACCGTGACAAAAGACCGTCGGAACTTTGATAGACATTGATAGCTCAACTTGTCTACGAGTTGAGCCACCAAAATGTTCGATTTTATTTTGCAAAGAATTGTCGAATCGTCATCGCGGACATCGATCCTCGAGAAAAAGGAAGGACGGACGATAGTCATGACGCGCGACGGTTTTCAGATACAGATTTCATTTTTCGTGTATGTATTGTAGTATACTTTTGTATGAAGATATATAAATATATAAGAGCGTGGGTGGGTGGCCGGAGCCTCGCGGTTCGAAGGCGGAAGGTAATTCGGCAATAAAGGTGAGATTTATTTGTGTTTT